GATTGTGATAAAATCTTCTATGTTTTCTCAAAAGAGCACTTTTGTTCTTTGTTGTTGTTGTTGTTAAAGATTTATTCATTTATTTATACAAGCAATGGGTACAGTCAAAAGCGCGGGAAGGTGAGAAAATTCACCAGAGCCAGAGCGGGGAACAGAAGAGGCAAACCGATGAAGTATACTGTTGAGGGGAGCAGCGAGCGTGGCAGGAGAGGTCTGTGCGCCTTGTGGGACCCTTGCTGGTGGCCGGGGATCGAACCGGTGCTGCAGAGGCTGTGGGCAGCTTTGCAGCCCAGCGCTCAATCACTGCGCCACTGGGGAGGCCCTGTTCTTTTTTTTTAAAGTGATGACTTTTAATGTGCATGATTGTACTAATCAGTCTACAATGTACACAAATATACCGTACACTTTAAATATGTGCAAATTTCTGTTGTCAAAATAAGGAAAAAATAAAAAGAAAAAAAATGCAACTGGAAATATCACACATCTCATGAGGGCACCCAATTCTAATGGCAAATGTTAGCAAATTACAGCCAATATTACTTACCCATGTAATATCACACTACAAATGTTTGAGAGAGCTATCCTTGTCAAAAGTTGATATGGGGGCCTCCCTGGTGGTGCAAGGAATTAAGATGCAGCACCACGAAGCTATCCGCAGCCTCTGCAGCACGAGTTCAATCCTGGCCATGGAGCTACCCTCATGGTGCAGCAGACCTCTCTTGGCTCGCCTGCTGCTCCGCTCAGCGGTGTATTTCAGTTGATCTGCCTGTTCTTCTCTCCACTCTGTCTCTTGGTAAATCCTTTCACCCACCGCCTCTCTGGCCTATACCCTAGCTCTTGTATGCATAAATAAATAAATCTTTTTTAAAAAGTTGATATAATTGACATTTAATGTAATAATCACCCTAACCACAAAACACACAAAGAAAATGAAGGCAAAACTCTCCAAGACATTTGTTTCAGTTATGTCTTTGGAGACACCACTTAAGAATCGTATAAGCAAAACAGGGTAGCATTGTCGGTCATCTTCATTGTCTTCTCTGATGGATGTACCAAGGAAGCTGAGTCACACTGTGACCTCTCAGAAGCTGCTTTGAGTGGGGGAAGTATATCCTACTACTTTCCAGGAGAAAGAGGGTGCCACTTCAGGCCTGCTGATGCAGGAGGAGGTGCAGAAAGGGCAGGGGTATTACCTGGGTTGGGGTTCCTTCTGGATATTCGCATTGTGGAGCTAGGAGGAGGCACTTTGGGGAAAATTGGACTTCCATGCTCTTCCAGGCAGGAGTTTGGATCGCCAGGAGGTACTAGGTTAGTCCCCTAAGAAGGATTACAGGACCAAACATCAGCTGTCTTTGGTAGACTCTGGGGAGGCCAGGAGATCTGTGGTGGGTCCCCTTCAGGCATGGAGCTTCCTTCCAGTTTCATTTTTACTGTGTTTTCTGTTAAAAAGAGCACTCCCACAACCCCCACCTTATTTTAGGAGTCTATTAACTTCCTTACCTTATTATAGTGTGTCTCAACTAAGGCCAACTTTGGCTTTATTTTGTAAGTTAGTTTTTTTCTATCAGAAATAGCAAGCATGGAAACTTAAAAAGACATGACTAAGACTGAATCATGTTTAAGACATAACTTAGACTAAGATTTAGATGACTTAGACAAGACTAAGTCACATCTAAGTCATGAACTAAGACTTGAGGAAGAATAAAAATAGGTCAATTTAGGATTCACTTCATTGCTTATGCTTCTTATAGTATGTATTTCTTTTAAATACAGTATGTGTTTTGTCACAGAACAGCAAAAATGTAAAGGAGGTTCTATACTTGGTGAATTTTTGGATAAAAATTTCGGTGTTATTAGGAATAAGAAGGAGAGCTGTAGACTTTGCAAATTCCATTTGGTAATTAATACAGATTTGGGAAGTTGGGTAGTAAGCACTTGGTAATGTTAAGTGCAGAGACAATGGTTCCTGAGAAAATCAGAATATGAGCCATGTGTTACAGAGATGGGTTGGTGAAAGTTGAGAAGAAAAATCAAAACACTTTAAGCTTTTAGAGAAAACATGTTTTCTGCACGGATGCAAGAGCTTTATAGCAGGAACAGCTTGGGGGAGATAAGGCTGGTTCTCTATGCCCAGAAAATGGGAACTAGAGTTAAGAACATTTTGTAAGATTCACTATTAAACTGGGGAGGGGGTTATTTGGCTGTCAAGAGTGCATTTTTCACTTGAACTGGATGCACTCAGGGCCCAGATGGAAAGGAACGTGCTTCCTTAGCACCCAAGGGAACTGAGAGAAGGAAATTTAGCAGCTGCTTTAAATCTCCTCAGCAGAGTCTATCTCTAAACTAACTAAAATGGCTCTGGTCTTCACATGGCAGTGGAAATAAGAGAACTAAAATAGAAACTGGAAACAATTTAAAAGAAAGTTCTGTGTGGGAATATGAACTTGATGGCTTAAGCAATCTTCTCTACTCAGAAGCCATTTTCTACTGTTTTTGTACATAACTGGTGCCTAAGAATTTGTCCAGGGGCCTCCCTGGTGGTGCAAGGGGTTAAGCACCACACTATGAAGCAATCCGAAGCCGTTGCAGCACGAGTTCAATCCCTAGCTGGCCGGGGAGCAACCTCATGGTGCAGCAGACCTCTCCTGTCTCGCTCACTAATCCCCTGTTCTGTTCCCCACTCTGTCTCTGGTGAATCCTCTCACCCCCCACATCTCTGGCCTGTACCCCAGCTCTTTTTTTTTTTTAAAGATCTATTTTATTTTATTTTATTTTATTTTATTTATTTATTTATACAAGCACTGGGTACAGTCAGAAGCACGGGAGGGTGAGAGAATTCACCAGAGCCAGAGCGGGGAGCAGAGCAGGCAGAAGAACTGAAGTACACTGCTGAGGGAAGCAGCGGGCGGCAGGAGAGGTCTGTGCGCCATGTGGGACCCTCTTCTGGTGGCCGGGGAGCAGCCGGGGATTGAACCGGCACTGCAGAGGCAGCGGGCAGCTTCGCAACCCAGCGCTCAACCGCTGTGCCACTGGGGAGGCCCCTGTACCTCAGCTCTTGTATGCATAAATAAATAAATCTTTAAAAAAAAAAAAGAATTTGTCCAGACTAAACTAGTATGTATGCCCTAATGGTGGCCAATAAAGTGGATCAGGAGTGAGAGTGCTCGCAAATAATCCCTAGAACATTCCAGAGCAGTGTGAGCTCTGCAAGCCAACAATCTTGTGTCTTCAACAAAGCTTTAGTAATGGATGAAACTTGTTCAGCCAGAACCTGCTTCCCCTGCTTATTTTCTCCTATCTCTCTGTCTTAGTTTAGAAGGTACTCTACTACCTGTTGATAGAAAAAAACACCTTTGGATTCTTTCTATTGTCTGCCTCACCTTTTGCAACTATCTAGATGTTACTGTCCAATGTTTACAAAAAAGGCTTCCTTTTTTGTAACCTTTTTAGATAACCATCACCCAAAATCAATTTCAATTCAAATGCACTAGAAAGCAAAATTCAGGCTATATTTACTATGCAAAGCTAATTGTTAACAGTATTTCAGGACCATATCAACTGTTACAAAAACACTTAATCTTTATTTCTACAGTTGACTCTCAGCAAGGAAGGTATTTCAAGAAAGGAAAATAGCTGTTTTTCCCCTCCTTTTATTTTATTTCTTCTTGACTTTTTTGCGTATGATTATTTGAATTGTTCTTTAATCCTGGAAAGTTCTTAGCCATTATATCTTTACGTATTTCCTTTCCCTATGAGAAAACCACAGAAGCCTACTCTATTTTTTCTTTTTTTTAAATGTATATTTTATTCTAAATTTCAATATCCTACCTTGATTTAGCATTAACTTAGGGCTGGGATCATGCATGGCAGTGGCAGCCAATACAGCTATAATCTGAAAGCACATCTCATCGTATTTTCAGGAGGGAATGAAAATTGAGAATTTCTCAGTGGTGTTAATGACACATGAGTACAATCAATTTGCAGTTATTCTAGGATCCTATTTTAGTTCCTCCTTGATAATAGAATCCCTACTGTGTTGTTTCTTTCTAAGATGTCTTATACCTTTGAGTAAATTGACATTTAATTTGTGGAATCTTTATTACGACCATGTAGTGTTATCACAGAAATTATAATCTTACAGTGTGAATACATAAAATTATACTTGTTGCTTCATGAGGTGCTGGTCTCCATATCTCTGAACTCTAGGAGTTTGAAGCTAGGGTTGCTTCGGTCCTGTCAATAACAAAGGAAAGTTCCATTTCAGACTCTGAAACACTGCAGATCCTCTGTCTGTGACAGATAAGGAAACTGAATTCAGAAATAATATTTGGCTCTAAATTACTCATGCAAAACAAAATATTTAAAATTGATTTAGTCCAGTTTCTCTGAGAAGTCGATACCAAAAAGGAATTAGATATATAAGAGATTTATTGGGAAAAAATAAATGGGGGGAGGGTTCATGGGGAAGGAGTAGGAGGAGCAAGACCATGTTAATGCTACCACTATCTACCCTGACATTTTTACAAGGTTTTCCAAGTGAGATTTTTGGCAGAGGAGACCCTACCAAAAAGCCATCTTGAGAATACTGGCTTCTTAAACAATCATCTTTTGGGGACAAAAGCCAGCCTCTTAGTCGAGTTGATGTCAGCATTATTGAAGCCACAGTGTTCCTGGGGGAAATGTTCTAACAGGCCCAGACACGAGGCAAAGATGGCCCACCATAAGGCGACCTTCTCCTTTGGCAGCAGAGACACATTTGAAGTTTTCTTGGTCCATAAATCAGTCCATAGAATCATGCAATAAGGTTTTAGAGTAACAGCCACTAGATTTGGGGTGACAGATAGGCATCAGACATGCAACATCTTAAGTCTGTGTCTTTCTGAGGCAGAAGGAAAGTACTGCATTTTGAAATGAAAGCAGAAGTTATTTTGCTGCAGACCTATGGTTTCACATTTTCATCAAGGCATAGATCCCTTTTCTCAATCTTCATTCAGGATACTCTGATGACAATTCCCAATTCAAAGTTAAGTGGGACTAAGAACAGGGTCCAGATGGATGATGAAATCATAACCTCCAAACTTGCCTTGGATACCACTGCTTCAGGTAAAATCACAGGGTTGCTAAATCTAAATTACACAACTTGTTATCTGCGGCAGCCATGAGACTATCCCTTGTAGACTATACTGCAGGAAACACAGTTGAGCTCCAGCCATAGCTGCTGGTGCATTAGCAGCAAGACCACACTTCCCTTGGGATATTCCCAGCTGATGCAAACATACCAAGGCTGCCCCTTCCTGGAAGACAGGAGCTGCTATCGTGGGTGACCTTGCCCCAAGGATGCCCTTACAGAACCTTTCTTGAAACCACACAGCAGTCTATGGCTTCCCTCCTTTGCTTTCTTTCTGTTTTCTTTTTCTCCGCTTTCCCTCCCTCCATCCTTCCTTAGCCCCTTCCCTTTCTTCTCCATAGATTTCAGATGTGCAACATTTCCTGAGGACTTTCCCTGTCTTCTCCTGTTTCCTCCTCATTACCCCTCACAGGTGTCTTTCCCAAGAATTCCCTTACAAACCTGATCCCATCTTAGTATCTGCTTCTCAAAGAATCTGGGCTAAATCATTTTTGTATGTGCCGTTCAGGATCAAATGTAATTTCTGAATTCAGTGTCAACTATCTTTCATTAAAAGGGGGATAACGAATAATGAAATGTATATACACATATATACACGCCTGTGCGTATATATATATATAAATTATATTGATCAATTAATTCTGCTGACTAACATACAGAAAAGTAGTATAGTTATGAGTAACGAAAACCTCTAAAGCATGGCCCTAAAGATTGGAATATCTAATGGAAGATTCCAAGGGAAAGAGAGCAGGGGCAAACCAGTTCTCATTCTTATGCACTGGAATGAATTTACAGAGAGAGTCATCCATCTTGGAAACAATGGCACTGCCTCACAGCTTGTTAGGGGTGGACAGACGCGTCTCTAAGGGACATGTTGTCTTCTTCTTAAATATCCATCAATTTACACAGTAAGGGGCCTCCCCTGGTGGCACAGTGGTTGAGCACTGGGCTATGAAGCTGCCCTCAGCCTCTGCAGCGCCGGTTCAATCCCCGGCCGCCGGCAAAGGTCCCACATGGTGCGCAGACCTCTCCTGCCGCCTGCTGCTCCCCTCAGCAGTGTATTTCATCAGTCTGCCTGTTCTGTTCCCCGCTCTGGCTCTGGTGAATTCTCTCACCCTCCCACGCTTCTGACTGTACCCAGTGCTTGTATGAATAAATAAATCTTAAAAAAAAAATTTACACAGTAAGACTCACTGAGCACCTCCACTACAACAAGATAATGGAGATCAGACAAGAACCTTGCCCTCAAGAAGCTCACGTTTATGGAGAAGATACATTTGGAAACAGACTGATGACAGAATATAAACCTTGAAACTGAGATAGGAATTGATTTGGGAAGGCAGAACATACCCAATTCTGCTTAGTAGGCAGAGAAATATTTAAGGTGGGAATTGAAGAATGGAGGAATTGGTCAAACAGTGAAGTGTTTGATTTTCTGACATTTGAACCATTCTTGCATCCCTGGAATAAATCTTAATCAGTGTATTTAATCACATTGACAAAAGGAAGATTAAAAATCATATGATCATATCAAGAGATGCAGAGAAAACATTTGACACGGTTCAACATACATTTATTACAAAAACTCAAAAAAGTGGGGATAGAAAGAGTGTATCTCAACATAATAAAGGCCATCTATGCCAACCCACACCAAACATCATATTCAGTGGTGAAAAACTGAAAACTCTTCCTTTAAGATGAGGTACAAGACAAGGATGTCCATTTAATCACTACCATGCAACATAATATTGAAAGTTCTACTAAAGCAATTAGGTAAGAGAAAGATATGAAAGGAATCCAAGTTGGGAAAATAGAAGTAAAAGTATCACTATTTGCAGATGACATTTTAATATACATAGAAAAGTCTAAAGACTCCACTAAAAAACTATCAGAAACAATAAATCTGTACAGTGAAGTGGTAGGCTACAAAATCAATATTCAAAAGTCTGTTGGAGGAGGGAAGATGGTGGACAGACAGACTCAATATTGTTGAAGTGTGAGGGTTATATAGAAAACATATTCTAGAAGCTTCTTAATGGATTCCCCTGTGATCTCTTTGCATGAACATGCTGGTCCTCTTGGTCACAGAATGGAATGGCTGTGATCATGAGCCTCGTTGGGAGCCTAGTGGCTGATGATAAACACAGGCTGTATGTTGTCTGCCTGTTGTTTTACTAATACCTTTAAAATTCTGGGCAAGGTGATTATCAAATAGAGAACACTCAAATGCCAGCATTTTTCACTTCTTCTCAAAGTAATGTGCTAACATAAGCACTTTTAATAAGAACTTTAAAGTAGCTTCATTTTTATTTTGTAGAATGAGCATTTTTTCCATTTATTCATCTAGTCCTTCTTACATTTCTTTTCCCTTCTAATGACAAATCAGCCATTTTCAATTTAAACTAACAGCATAGAGTTTTTTTGTTATTTTTTGGGTAATATTGTATATTTGGGTAATTTGTATATTGTTTTCCTTCCGCTTCTTTTTTCTTTCCCCAGAGTGTATTACAGAAGAATTGTAACTATTTCTCAATTTTAAACAGTTGCCTTCTGAGGAAGCTAATCAGGGAGAGAAAAAACTTTTCTTTTTTTTTAAATTTATACAAGAGCCAGGGTACAGGCCAGATGCGCGGGAGGGTGAGAGGATTCACCAGAGATAGAGCAGGGTACAGAACAGGCAGACTGACTGAAATACACTGCTGAGGGGAGCAGCGGGAGAGTCAGGAGAGGTCTGTGCGCCATGTGGGTTGCTCCGAGGCCAGCGGGGATCCAACCGGCACTGCAGAGGCTGTGGACAGCTTCACAGAACAGTGCTCAACTGCCTGTGCCACCAGGGAGGCCCCGAGAGAAAATTCTTTAAAAAAAAAAAAATCACCTTCTGGGCCTCCCCGGTGGCACAGCGGTTCAGCGCTGCCCGCAGCCTCTGCAGCGCCGGTTCCATCCCCGGCCACCAACAAGGGTCCTACATAGCGCGCAGACCTCTCCTGCCGCCCGCTGCTCCCCTCAGCAGTGTACTTCGTCAGTCTGCCTGTTCTGCTCCCCGCTCTGGCTCTGGTGAATTCTCTCACCCTCCTGCGCTTCTGACTATACCCAGTGCTTGTATAAATAAATAAATAAATCTTTAAAAAAAAATCACCTTCTTTCTTGCTTTTTTTGTCTATTTCATTTGTTATTTGACATGGCTGTGGATATACCTCCTTCTGGAGATGACAGAACTTTATCATAAGAGTTAAATATAAATTATAACCATTTTCCCCCAAACTGAGATTTCTGTGTACAGGCAGCTTCCTGCTATCGCACACTTTCCCCAGATCATTTCTTTCCCCCAAATTCCTTCCTCTGTCTCTCCCTGTCTCCCTCCTCCCTCTACTTCATTAATCCTACCTCTCTCAATTTCTCTGCTGGGATAAATGAGTTCACCATTCTATTTCCATTTTTGGTGGTCACCAAAAGTTCTAGCCCAAAGATTACTGCCACTATTCAGTAATTACACAATTTTTCTTCTTAATCATAAAAACATGTACCTGAGACTTGGGAGACAAAAAGGTTTTCCCTTTTGTCTTTGTTGGGGGAAGAAGAGAGCTGGGAAGTGTTGCGTGATTCGAGATAAATTTGCTAATGCACATTTTTCTCATTCCCCTGCTTGCTGAGTATGAGACAGGCATTAAACCATGTAACACTGGTTTACTTGGAAACAAAACTTGAGAAGGCACAGGCAGAGCGAGATAGCCTCATGTGCTTCTGATTTCTCCCTTTGACCCCCTCACTCAGATGCTATCAGAATTCCACCCCCTCAATTGCCCAGGAAAAAGATACTATGGGAGAATAAAAGGTATTATGGATTCCAAAGTTTTCTGATCTATTGTGCATGGAATGAATGCCCTAGCCTCCTGACCTCATTTACATGGGGTTCTCAATATTAATGTTGACTGTCTTCTTTCCTAAAGAGGGTGCTGGACGGTGCATTGCCATGCATACTACAACCAGGATGTTCTTTTGCAAGACAAACATACCACATTGGGAGTCTGAAAATGGAAGATTCACGTGGTACAGACAGAGGTTTCAACAATTCAAGGCTGGTCCTTGGCTACCAGTTGTGCTCTGACCATAGCTGGCAGAGAAAGAAGAGAATGGAAGGAAGTAAGTGTGCTCCCTCCCCACTTCAAGCCTCTTTCATTGCTCTGTGGTCTCTGGAGGGCAACTCAAAGCCCTCCCCCTTGCCTAATCACCCAAGGGGAAAGTTGACTTTCTAGCTGGCACGCGGGCATAAGGAAGAATTAACTGTGAGTTCAGATTCTTTTGTATCTTGTTAACTAGGTAGGAAATTTAGAGGTGCTGATGGACTTTTGGTGACATAAAGGATAGAATATTTAAGTCAGAAGATTTTCTTCTATTTTATAAAAGGAAATTTAAGGTAATGGGAGAAGAAATCAAGGAGAACAAATAAGGAGAAAAAGAAAGAAAATCTGTCAGTTTTGCAAAAGAATCTCTCAACGAAAAAGAAGGAAAAGAAGCATTAATCCTTTGAAGGCATCAGATTAATCTCAGCATTCTGACCCATAATGTGCATGATTTGAATTTCTGTCCTGCTTATGAGAGAAAATACATATTTTTTTTTGTTTTAGGGTTTTCACTGAGTGCCATGCTGGTGACAGATGATTGCTGAGAGCATATTCATTCTAAACAGAATGCTAGCTCTAGCCACAGGCTATAAAACTAATTTTCTAATCCTGGCTCCATATCTTTCATCATCAGAAGAGAAGCAATGGATAGATGAGGTGTGGGACCCCCAAGGGATTCCTTATGTTTTCCATTGTCACATAGCTAAAAAGATGAAGGATTAAAGCCACCTTTCATCCAGGAGTAGGTTTTCCAAAATTCATGTTTCCCCCACACTGCAGCCTCACTGCTCAGAAAAGTTTCTGAGTAAACATCAAGAACCTGTTACTGAAAAAAAAAAAAAAAGATTTAAAAAGATCTAAGAAAATGCTAGAACCAAATTCTTAGGCTGCAAATTGATTTCAGAGGAATACTTTAGGAGGAGAGAATTTGAGCCTTTGCGTTGAGGGCAGAAGGTCTGGTTCATCTGGGGTTTATTTAACTTGAAGATATAAATATAGGGAATGTGCCACTGTCCCAGGAGAGTTCCTAGATGTGGCAGATTCTGAAGATGTCTAGACCATCAAAAGTATGGGGAAAGGTCTCCTCAGTGGCGCAGCAGTTGAACGCTGGGTTGCGAATCTGCCCGCAGCCTCGATCCCCGGCCACCGGCGAGGGTCCCGCATGGTGCGCAGACCTCTCCTGCCATGCCCGCTGCTCCCCTCAGCAGTGTACTTCGGTCCTTCTGCCTGCTCTGCTCCCCGCTCTGGCTCTGGTGAATTCTCTCACCCTCCCGCGCTTCTGACTGTACCCAGTGCTTGTATAAATAAATAAATAAATCTTAAAAAAAAAAAAGTGTGGGGAAAAATTGTATGCTAAGTGGTTAGACATGGAAAGCCAAGACAAAGTAGAAACTAGACAGTATGTTAACAGTAAAGAAGGAAGGAAAGTGAATAGAAATAAAGGGAAGAGAAAAAAAGAAGAAAAAGGAAGCGAGAGAGCAAAGCAGTTCTTGCCCACTCACCTCACTTTACTTTGCCCATTACTTTTCTCGTTGGACAGGATCAAATGCCAACCTGAGACTCAATGTTAAGAGGGGCACAAGGGTTCAAGGTCTTTCTTCTGGCTCATAGCCCGGGAGTCATGCTGGGAGGTTGGGAAGGGCATGAAAAAACCCTTGGAGGGGGAAGCGTTTGGTGTTTTGAAGACTGGTCCTGAGTTAATTAGCAGGAATGGCTGAACTGGCCCATCACCGAAGTTGAGTAAGATAATCACAAATTAAAAAGGGGCTCTGACTCAACAATAAATGATGTAGTAAGCTAAATAGATAGAGTTTATAGTACATATGCATTTTGGATTGAAGAGAAATTTGAGGTTTTCGGTCATGGTTAGTTGTAGGGATTTGAATAAGAACAAAGTAAGGGCCTCCTGGTGGTGCAAGGGGTTAAGGTGCAACCTATGAAGCTATCCACAGCCACAGCAGCACGTGTTTGATCTCAGGCCAGGGAGCTACCCACATGGTGCAGCAGACCTCTCCTCAGCAGTATATTTTGGTTGATCTGCCTCACTCTGTCTCTGGTGAATCCTCTCACCCCCCACACTTCTAGCCTGTACCCTAGTTCTTGTATGCATAAATAAATAAATCTTTAAAAAAATTAGAGGTTATTTAAAAAAAAAAGAACAAGGTGAATTTTGTCAAAGCAGGTCACCTAGACATTTCTGACTGACTGACTCATTTTTACCTCACTTACTTTTTCCAAGTCATTAAGATTACAAATACCTTTCATTCACCTACAGAAAGTTTTTCTCATTTCCATATGATGAGTGAATGCAGTAAAATTAATTATGAAGATAAGAGCTGATTTTAGGAGGTCAGTGTGCTAACAAAGCTCATAGGCATAGAATTCTTATTATAACAATTTTACATGAACAGAATTGGGGGGTTTAGTTGGATTAGTGCAAATCAGACTCAGTTGTACTTCAGTAACAAATCACCTTCAAATCTCCATGGCTTGTTTCTAGCGCATGCTGCTCATCCGCTGAAGATCGATGGGACCTTTGCTCTACAGACCATCAGAGACTTAAGCTGACTTTGGCTCCACTGTCTTGCGACGCTACCATCTCAGCACAGGGACAGTGTGGAGGGTCAAACTCAATTCTATTCACAGTTCTGCAGCCAGAACTGGTCCCCTGACCCCTATCCAAAAGCAAGACACTATGGAGAGGATGATTCTCATCATGTCTACACATTATGTTCTCTGGAGCTATATAGATTGTGTCAGTATTTAGAAACATGATTAATAGAATTCTCACCAAAAGGGCATGAGAACAAGTGGTCACAGGGTCAACTTATGCAAAGCTTTGTTTTTTTAAATTTTTTAAAGATTTATTTATTTATGCATACAAGAGCTGGGGTACAGGCCAGAGGTGTGGGGGGTGAGAGGATTCACCAGAGACAGAGTGGGGAACAGAACAGGCAGATTGAACTAAGTACACTGCTGAGGGGAGCAGCAGGAGAGGTCTGCTGCACCATGTGGGTAGCTCCCCGGCTGGCCGGGGATTGAACTCATGCTGCAGAGGCTGCGGACAGCCTCATAGGCTGTGTCTTAACACGTTGCGCTACCTGGGAGGCCCCAAAGCTGAGTTTTGATCAGAGGATCCTCATGGGTTATGGAAGCATTCACACTGTAGCGAATACCACCTCATCAGAGAGCACAATAAAACAGATTTCTGACCCCTATACCTAGAGATTTTAACTCAGTAAATTTGAAGTGCAGTCCAGGAATTTGAGTTTTAATACGCACCTCTGCGGGTTTTCATGCCAGTGATCTTCAGGGTTTGATAAACAAGATTATTGGCCTCTGCCTTCTGACAGTGGTACATCGTGGTTTCAGTATGTGTGAGCGTGTGATATTTTATTTTGAGAAGTGGAGCGCAAGGAAGCAGATGGCTGTTACTTCTATCTCATTGATCTTTACAAGATTAAAGTCTTGGTAGAAATGGGTCCCAAAATTTCAGACGTGTGGAGAAAAGCAACAGAAAATGAGAGAGATTAAGAAAGAAGGCTGTTGCAAGAAGTCGGGCAGGGAGGAATGCATGGTCTGTGAGAAGGTGTAAAAGAAGAGTGAAAATGAGGATGACAAATATACCTAGAAGACAAGCCATGGATGAGCTATAGGGATTCGTTTTTCTGGGTCAGCAGATGGTCTGGTGGAAAGGAAAATTTCCACCAAGCATTCCACAAAATGGCAAAGGATTTTTGTAATGGTTTAATTTAGTACCCCTTCACTGAAAAACCAAGACAATGCTGAGATGGGGCAAAATGCAATTGAACTCCCTAGTATTATTGAAAATGTGATAGTTTGCTAAAGAAATAATCAGAGATGTACATAAATACGCAACATTTTTTGCAGCACATTTATAATGATGAAAAATTGGAAATCACCTAAGTGTTTTCCAGTTGGAAATTGGTTAAGTGCATTAGACTTCAGCCATGTGATGGGTTGCTGTGTAACATTAAATGTGCTTTTGAGACATCTGGGAAAAAGAATGATGTATTAGCAGGTTTACAAAACTCTTCCAATACTAAATAAAACAAGATACACCAAAGAAAACACCATCCAACAGTGAATCCAGGAAATTTTCCCAACCTCATACCACAGACTTCAAGAAATCCAAACTCAAATACAAAACATCCAGTACATCCAAATGCAAAACAATTAAGCCTAACTTGATATAAAATTCTGGGAACCAACCCACAATTCCCATTTTGAAGTGAGCAGTACAATGTGGTAAGAAAAGGCAGAATTTCTGAAAAATCCCACTAAAAAACTCACTTTGATGGACAGGAAATAGGGGCCTGAGTTGGCAAGAGAAAGGACCTGGAATGTTCTATTCAGGGTTATTTCTCTTCACTGTGAAGCCAAACACCAGTCAAAGCTCACAGTGGTGGGAATCCAGAAACAAGCGCCTATTGTCTCTGAAGGGCCTGCTGCTGTGGACAGAGGACATACCTACCATCACCTTAGACAAAGTAGTCACACTGCTCAGCTGGGCTCTCACTCCAGTTTTGATCAGCCATCTAGCAAACCCCAATCTCCAGGCTCACTACCATACACTGGGTGGGGTATGATCTCCAGTCACTGGACTGCCCCGTACTCAAGGGTTTCAACAAAAGAAAAGAACAAAATGAATGTGAAAATATTCCCAGCTCTGACAGTTCATAGACCCTTTCCCCTCCCCAGTCTACTCAGGCAGCGTTGGGACCTGGTCCAAGCTCGAGCTCACTCGCTTTCATAGGGAAGATGCCAATTGTGCTTAGCTAAGGGAGATAAGCAAAGAGACCATGGGTATATTATTTGGGGATGAATAGAAGGCCTGTACCTGCTTATCAGTGTTTTAAAAAAAGATTTATTTATTTATGCATACAAGAACTGAGGTGTAGGCCAGAGGTGTGGGGGCAGGGGGTGAGAAGATTCACCAGAGAGAGAGTGGGGAGTAGAACAGGCAGATCCACTGAAATACACTGCTGAGGGGAGCAGCGGGCAAGTCAGGAGAGGTCTGCTGAGCCATGTGGGTAGCTCCCTGACCAGGGATTGAACTCGTGCTGCAGTGGTTTATGATAGCTTCATAGTGCTGAGACTCAACACTTTGCACCACCAGGGAGGCCCTGGACTGTAAGAAGAAACACAGCTTGTGGTCTGTATAATAATTCTGGCTCCCCCAACCCCTAAAAAAAATTCCCTGAGGGTGGGTGACATTTATTCAAACACTCTCACATTTAGTGAGTTATTTGTTTTTTGTTTTTTTACAATTAGAGTAGATTAGGTATAGCTATCATTCTGTACTATGTTCCTCCCACTGTATTTCATTATATATCATCTGTCTTATGACTTTGTTAATGGTCTTCTCTCTTTATACCAGTGCTGAATTTTTATATTTTCAAATATGTTGTTTTTTTTTCTGTTTGGCATCTTCCATTCAAAAGTTACACAAGGCTGAAACTTATTTCTGCATGTAATTTGAAGTTGGGGATCCAAGTTTTTTGTTTTTACAGATGGATGGTCAATTATTAACACTGTTCGTTTTATTTTTTTTTTAATTTGTTAGCATTTAATTGTATTTCCACTTTCTACGTTCTATATAATTATAATTCTATAATTATGCAATTTTGTATCCTTTTTCTTTTTTATTATTTAAATTTTATTTTTATATTCCCCTTACTTACAACCCCCTTATTTTGACCCCAAAGCCATCCTTTCCCCGCCCCCCACCCCCCGTTGAGTTTCTCTGGTTCATAGTTGTTTGTTGATTTTGATTTTCACTTTCTTATAGTTATTCTTTTTCCTGGTCCCTTATTTAAGTTTTCTAGATTCCTGCTATGAGTGAGACCATCCGGTATTTTCCTTTTTCTTTCTGGCTTATTTCGCTGAGCATGATCCCTTCCAGCTCCATCCATGTTGCTGCAAATTGCATGTGTTTATCTTTTTAGATTGCTGAGTAATATTCCATGGTGTATATGTACCACATCTTCTTGATCCAGTCATGTATTTTTGGGCAGTTGGGTTGTTTCCAAAGCTTAGCTATTGTAAATAGTGCTGCTATAAACACAGGGGTGCAGTTGCTCTTTGGAATTGATGTTTCTGTGTCCTTTGGGTAAATCCCTAGGAGTGGAATTGCTGGATCATATGGAAGCTCCATGTTTAGTAGGTAAAAAAATCTCCACACAGCTCTCCATAGTGGTTGGACCAGTTTGCACTCCCACCAACAGTGCAGAAGAGTTCCTTTTTCTCCACACCCTCGCCAACATTTGTTGTTGCTAGTTATTTTAATATCTGCCATTCTCACTGGTGTAAGATGGTATCTCATGGTAGTTTTGATTTGCATTTCCCTGATTACAAGTGATGTTGAACATTTTTTTATATGCCTGTTGACCATTTACATTTCCTCTTCAGAGAAGTTTCTTTTTAGCTCTTCTGCCCATTTTTTTTTTACTGGGTTATTTTCTTTGTTTTTGTTGAGTCTCGTCAGCTCTTTGTAGATTTTTGTGATCAGTCCTTTATCATTAAACACTGTTTGTTTTAAAAACCATCCTTTTCCTATCAAATATCTCTTCTTAATATAAAACAGAAACCCCCAATTGGAGATACCCCAGTCTCAACACATTTATGGTGCGTTTTTCTGTGTTCTTCATTTAATCAAAGGTACCCCTACATTGCTGCTCACATCTCATATTTACAAACATTACCTGACTATAAAGACGCAACCTATGAAGCTATCCGCAGCCTCTGCAGCATGAGTTCGATCCCCGGCCAGGGAGATACCCACATGGTGCAGCAGACCTCTCCTGACTCACCTGCTGCTCCCCTCAGCAGTGTATTTCACTCAGTCTGCCTGTTCTGTTCCCCAGTCTGTCTCTGGTGAGTCCTCTCACCCCCCACACCTCTGGCCTGTACCCAGTTCTTGTATGCATAAATAAATAAATCTTTAAAAAAACAGTCAAAATAGACAAAATTATTATATAAAAAATAAATAAAACCTAAAGCAATAAGTGTTTACTGTAGAAGAATTAGAAGATACAATCAGGCAAGAGGAAGAAATGCAAAACATCCATTATCCCAACATTCAATTGTGAATATTTTTCCTTTTAAATAATTTTCAAAAGAGGGTGAATGTGTGCCAAGATAACAATCTTCCTTTGCTCCTCCAAATTCATGTCTACCCACTTGTCCCCTGCTCGCTCCCGGGTGCAGACTCCCATACTCTCTGACTTCCCGTCAGTGGGGATATCCAGCAGGGGACTGCAGAGGAGTCAGGCATGTATCTCCCAGCCCCCTGTTACTGTCTACCCCCTCAGAGGACCAGCGCCTAAGCCCACAGGTCACAGTACTTCTCCAGGGACCCTCAGTGTCCAGCTCTCTCCTGGTTCCTGTAGCTGCCTTCTCCCCCATACCTTTGCTCTCCTATTATCCATGCTGCCTGCACATCACTTCCTCAAGTGCTTAACCCCATCCCTCCCCATGATTTTAAAATTGTACCTTAATTAAACTCTTCAAACTAGTCTAAGTTGTAACATTTGTTTCCTGGAAGCTATAAAAAAGCAATTTAAAAAAAGAGTGATAGGGCCTCCCTGGTGGCACAGGCAGTTGAGCACAGCACTGTGAAGCTGTCCACAGCTTTTGCAGCGCTGGTTGCATCTCGGCTAGTGGTGGAGATACCCTCATGGTGTGGCAGACCTCTCCTGTCTTACCCGCTGCTTCCCTCTGCAGTATATTTCATCAGTCTGCCTGTTCTGTTCCCCACTCTGTCTCTGGTGAATCCTCTCACCCTCCCGTGCATCTGGACTGTACCCGGATTCTTGTATGCATGAATAAATAAATCTTTAAAAAAAATAAAAAAGTGATATAAGTAATACCCGAATATTTTCTTGCTATAAAAAAATTGAATCAAATCCTTCAAGTAAAACATCTACTTTAACTTTTTATCTCCCAAATGTAGTCTTTGCCTTAGAGGTAGCTATTGTATGCAACTTGCTGAATATATTTCTAGATCTTTATTTCTTACATTGACTTACATATATAGACATATAAGTCGCATATTTGTGTGTACATATATAGCTTCCTACTGTGTGAATTTTTTGATATCTTGCTATTTAAAATTCATGTCTCGGGAATTTTTCCACTTCAGGACAATACAAAACCTAGCCCATAAACAGATTGCTGCTTAGTATTTTTCATTCCCCTACTACCTAATATTTAGGGTATTTCCAGTTTTTAACTATCATAAATGACATAGTTCTGAAAACGTTGTACGTGCCTTCTAAAGTACACCGAGTGCATTTTGGCTTTTATTTTAATCTATGCTACTGGATTGCCTTCCCAAAAGACCAGGCTTTTCACGTGTGTATAATGAAATGTCCTGGAACACAAGACACTCAGGCAATATTTTAAGAAGTGGGGCTTTCATTTAAGTCTCAAGAGGAATTCTTGCTCCAGAACCAGAAACTAACTAACTTTGGGTCCTCTGTTTCGTTGTCAGTGGATAAGAACCTAAGGTCACCGCCTCCTGTATGTAAGGTGTCACCATACTCACCACCATTTTCATGTTCCTATCAAGCATCCATTCTGCCTGGCATGTGCAATGAAGGCTCAGTCTGCTCAGGGGTTCTCCATGCATCCTGTGCTGCTTTCCCTTCTCAGGGCTGGTACTTTGGTTTTGGTGGAAGACAGAGGGCTGTAATCTCTTGGGCCTCTTGCAGGGGGCAATACCCTCCCACCTGGCCCTTGTCAGACTGTGTGGTCCCTGTCCCAAAGCCTGGCCTGGTCTACCTCTTTCTCAGCTGGCAGCTGATCTCTTGGGCAAAGGAAAATTTGGCCGTGCTTCCTTGCCAGCCTGGCATGTGAGGCATTGCTTCAGTCTTTTCCCACCTACCGGGTAGAGCCATTCTTTGCCCCCACACTGCTGCACCGCACAAGTTGGGAGACACTGGCAGCTTCTCATCAGCAAGGGGGAGCAGGAGCTCTCCCTTCAGATTCCCCAGGCGTATCTGCGGTTTCTAGAAGGCCCGCCTCCACTGGGCCTGCAGCTAGGAGGGGGGAATGGAACCCATATCTAATTTGAACATACTCTCTGGTTCTAGTTTGCCTCGGATACCCCAGCTTGGGTCTGTGGACCCCGCATAATTATTAACAGTGTTCCCTTTCACTTTCAAAAGTAGGCCAGCTTGGTGGGCCATCCCTCAGAAACGCTAATTTACTGCTTTCTTTTCTAGCTCTCCTTTCTTTCAATCTAGAGAATTTGCATCTCATTTTGAATTGGAAAACCTGATTTTCACCCTCACCTCTTATTCTTTGCAGTCAAGAAGAGGACATTGGGGTCTCTGAGGGTCAGCGCCACTGCAGGGGCCAGAGGGGAAGCTGGCATAGGACCCTCTAGCATGACTTCAGAGAGGGGCAACCTGATCATTAACACCCACAAAGACCCAGGAGTTAGACACAACCCTGGGAAGAGGATTGCAATTACTCTGACTTAACTGGGAAGAGTTTCTTTCACCCAGTGCAGTGGGCACAAAAAAATAAAAATTAAATAGTTATGGAAAAGTAAAACAAGTTCCATTTTCTGCATATCTGCGCTGTGGCCTGAGACTCACCCTGCTGCATGTAGGAATTACGTGGCTCTGTTGCAGTAACAATTAAGATAATGGTCATCATAATGATGGTAGTAACATTTATGGACGGCTTACTGTGTACCAAGCTCAATTCTGAGGACTTTACATGATGTTATATTATAGAAACTATTATTTGCTCCATTTTGTTAAAGAAAATTGAGTCACAAAGAGAGGAAATGATTGACCCTACCGAGGGATGAAAACCAGAATGGAATTTCGGGCAGGTCAATCCAGCACATGAGAAAAATGATGTGCGCAGATGAGACAAACTTCTTAGAGATCATTCTTAATTTAGCACTTTTAGTGGGCCAGGGTGAGGCTGTATCTGCATGAAAAAATGCTACAGTTTCTTAGTCTATGCAGGATAACCAACAAGAGGAAGAAATTCAGGGGTAAGCAAGGAGAAGTTAAAAGCTCTTCTGTGAACTTTGTGAACCGAACTTTGTCCTGAAAAGGGACAAGTTTTGTAGCTTGTAACTCGGCGTCATGGACTCCAGCCCTGACCAGGCGGGGACCCCAGGCCGCAGGCAGGCCGGCCTCGCCTTAACCTGCCTGCATTCTTGAAGCCACTACAGACAAGCTGGCTTTGGAGGAGGATCCCGGTTTCCAATGCCAGAGGGAAGAAACATTCCTCATCCCAAAGGAGACAGGCTTTTTGTTTTGTTTTGCTTTTGAGATAGTCTGTAAAAGATTCTAGAACAAAGGCCTTCTCCGCTTCTCCTGATTGTCGGTGGGAATAGCACATTTGTCGGTGGACACAGATGCTAAGGTGGGTGCGGGCACTTCTGCAAACTGGACGGGACCCAGAAAGCTGTGAGTCCAGCTTGGCCTGCCTTCTTTCCCTGCAAAGGCCAGAAGGAAATGAGCGGAAGAAGGCAGGACCGGACATGCAGGGTGAGGAACCAGCCTCGGCACCGACCCTCTCTAAGGGAAGGCAGCCTCTCACCCACCGTTGCACCCTCTGAATTCACTAATATTAACCCCAGGTGAATGGGGAGAACTGGATGAGGCAGTTGAGCTGGAGAGTGGGAGGCCTTGAGAGTCTCCCCATTCATGGTTTGGAAGCAATGAAGGACAGGTGGCCCCAAAGAATGCCTGGGCCCATGGGCCTGAGGCAGTCTTGAGGTTCCAAGACAGCCGAGGACTTCCCTGCGTGGTTGAGAGCAATGCGTGGGTAACGCAGAGAGCCCGTGGGTCGCAAGTCAGTGTGTTAGCAAAGCCAGGGATTGCCTCAGAGGCCTGGGGATGCCTCAGAGCAGCCCTTGATCTGAGGCTTCTCTTTGCACTGATATTGCAAGTCCTATACCACCCCCATTCCCAGGGTTCGGGTCCCACCCAGGAAAGGAATGGAGGAGAACCTCATCTCTGACTTGGCTAAGCTTTCATTTCCTCCACCCTGCGGAATGACGGGGGTGAGGAGTGATCAGCCTGGGACAAAAAAAAAAAAATCACTGTGATAAAAAATGAACTGGTCACATTTGTCCTACATCTGAGCTGAAGGCTGAGGACTTACTTGGACCCACTCTGCTTTAGAAAGTTTGCTAGAAAAGGCCATTTGTCCAATGAAAGGATCCTCTGTTATTTTTGAAGAAACTGGGAAGTTACCATCAACAGGAGGGCAGATGAGACGTGGCAATGTACTTTGTGCCTTCTGGTGAGTGGCATTTTCTTGATCTGGGGTGTGAGGGGTACGGGAATCTTAGCTCTCCGTGAATGACGACGAGGTTGATTCTGCACAGGGGGGTTTATGAGTGTTTAGACTGGTGCTTGCAGTCGAGAAACAGAGGAAAGGGAGCACAAGGCTCTGTGGTGGGGGGCCATGGTGGGGGGTGCACTGTGGCAACAGCGCCTGAAAGGGGGGTCCTGCACATCTATTATGTAATGTATTATGTAGGAGTGTTATTATGCAGAATAACAGTGTCAACCAATACTAACTGAGCAGGGAAAGGAAGGAAAGACGGAAGGAAAGAGGCCATGTCTGCTTTTGAGGGAGGCTTTGGGGGCCCTGCAGGGAAGCACAGGGCCACAGCAGCCAAGGCGACAGTGTGAGGGTAGACCCTGGACACAGTGGGAAGAGGACTGTATTAAAGGGCTGTTGGCAGAGGCATTGGTGACCATGTGCAAGGGCAGCAGACAGCCGCCTCGAGGGCAGTAGATGTCAAATTGGAGTGAGGAGCTTGGAAGGGAGAACATGGCAGTCGGACGACTTGGCATGGAGGTCACACAAGGTGATGCTTTGAAGACACCTGGCTGTATCTGGAAGACACTGAGAGCTAGAAACACAGGTTACATATAAGGTGTGTGAAGAGCCCCGTGATATTCAGGTGTAAGGAGATCACATTTGTATACTTTTCCATGTAAAGCCAGATCTGGCTTACTGTTCATTGGCTTGGCTCACACTTTAATTCCATCAGTCATGTGTGGAAGGCTGTGCCTCCAGGTCAAAGAATTTCTCCTTTGGGTCCCAAATAGAATCTTGAGTAAAGATGACAATGGTGGGCCTCCCTGGTGGTGCAAGGGGTTAAGATGCAACCTATGAAGCTATCTGCAGCCACCTAAGCACGAGATCAATCCCTGGCCAGGGAACTACCCACATGGTGCAGCAGACCCCTCCTGTGTCGCCCGTTGCTCCCCTCAGCAGTGTGTTTCAGTGGATCTGCCTGTTCTGCTCCCCACTCTGTTTCTGGTGAATCCTCTCATCCCCCACACCTCTGGCCTGTACCCCAGTTCTTGTATGAATAAATAAATCTTTAAAAAAAAAATGATGGCAATGGTTTGGGGCAAGGTGGCAGGTGTGTTTTTGATCAGTCCCCTTCACCATCACTTCCACCCCTCAGACTCCCTGGCCAAGTGTATCATGACTAGGGGAGAAATAGCAACGCCAGTGAGAGCCTACGTGCCAAATGCCAAGGACCTGGCTGCCAATAGGCCATTCCTCCCTTCTTTCCAGCCACCTGCTTCCAGTGCTGGGATGATAATAAGATTAGAGCATCTCATGGGCAGTGGCCCATTGGCTTAACTTGTCTCTGTAAAATGAGTTCCTTGGTCAGAAGTCATATTGTGTGGGAGCCCATGCCACTGTACACCACCCAGCAAGTCCATAGAGAGGGATGGCGACTGTGTGATAACAGCTAGGGAGACAGAATCCAAATGCTGAGCTAGTGCCCATCCAGAGAGAACACGAGAGCCCCTTCCCTGATGGAAAAGGGCCAATCTAATCTACTGCCACCTGGTAGCTGGCTCCACCCCCGGAATGCCTCACTGCCCTGAATGGTGCTGCCAGTCACTTATTGGATCAGCCCAAGATACTAGGTGTCCTCTGTTGTCCTTCCCTCCCGTCACACTCATTATCCTATCTGTTACCAGGTGCTGCTGTTGCTACCTTTTATTTTATTATTTTATTATTATTTTTTAATTTTATATATTTTTTACATCATTTTTCATTTTTACACAATGTATGCATTTTCATCTTGGTTATAGTCCCCATACAGTTCCCACCCCGCCTTGTTTTGATCCTACTCCCTCCTTCCTGCCTGTAGTGTGTCTCTGGTTGATTTTGTTGCTTGTTGATTTTGATTTTCACTTTATTATAACTAGTCTTTTTCCTGGTCCCTTATTTAGACTTTCTAAATTCCTGCTATGATCCAGCAATTCCACTCCTAGGTATTTACCCAAAGGACACAGAAACATTAATTCCAAAGAGCACCTGCACCCCTATGTTTATAGCAGCACTGTTTACAATAGTTAAGCTTTGGAAACAACCCAAATGCCCAAAAATAGATGACTGGATCAAGAAGATGTGGTGCATATATACCATGGAATATTACTCAGCAATCAAAAAAGATAAACACATGCAATTTGCAGCAACATGGATGGAGCTGGAAGGGATCATGCTCAGCGAAATAAGCCAGAAAGAAAAAGAAAAATACCGGATGGTCTCACTCATAGCAGGAATGTTGCTACCTTTTAAAGTGGTGCCAAAATGCCATCTTTTCTTAGCTATTTCCACCTCGCAGCTCTCACCTTTGCAATGGCCTCAGCTGGCCAGCCTCCTTATGCTCCTTGTCTATAAAATGTTCACACAGCACAGTGATTAATTTTTTTTAATTGGGGGAAAGTAGACATAACATAAAAATTTACCATCTTAACTACTTTTTCATTTGTGGTTGAGTGGTGTTAACTGTGTGAAGCCCATGTCCAGAAGTTACAGTTTCATCTTGCATTACTGAACCTACATGGTGCAACAGCACCGCACTCCCCCGCTTCCCTCCACCACCCCCGGAAAGTACCATTCTTCTCTGTCTCTGTGAACTTGATTACAGGCCTGATATAAGTGGAATCAGGTGGTATTTTTGTGACTGATTGATTTCATTTAACCTAATGTCTTCAAGGTTTATCCATGTTTATTCCATGTCTCAGATTTTCTTTCAAAGGATGAATAAGACTTCATTGTAGATCTATGCCATATTTTATTTATCCAAAATGATTTTTTAAAATATTAGGCTTAGTTTGTTTTCAAGAATAAAATGACATGACAAAGAGACAAAGCAACACAATTGAATGGATGGGTATTGCTTTCATAATGATTTGAACAAACCAAGTGTAAAATGTTTTTGAGACATTTTGAGAAATGTGATTTTATTAAGGAAGAATTTTTAAAAATTGTGATTTGTTCTGGTCATAAGGGTTTTGTGACTAGATTTTTAAAAATGTGTCTTCTAGAAATACCTATTGAATATTAATGAAAGAGATGCTATACCATGGAATTTGAGTACAGAAAAATGTGTCTGTATGGCAAGAAGTAGGTGAAATGAGATAGACAAAGTGTTAATTTTTGTTCCAGTTGGGTTATGTATAAATGGAAACTTAGTGCATTTGCTTCTCCTTGTATTCATATTTGAAAATGTGCATATGAAATTCCTAAAGATCTAAGAACTACTTTTTCTTTTAAAAACTCTGATAGCTTCTCACTTCTCACAGAATATGATGCAAATGTGTAATATTATGGTGTAATAGTGTTGTTTTAGTGTAAAACTTTATTACTTCCTCAAAGATTTGTTGTGAGGATTGATTATTGCATGTAAAGCATTAGGAAGGGTGCTTAACCCAGCTTAAAAGCTATTTAAATACTAATTTACTGTTTAATTTCTTAAGTATCTCTGCTGTTTACTATTAGGACCAGTTTAGCATATCAACAACCAAAGATTAAATTTATGATTTCATAATAAACTATGATTCATATCATCAAGATAGCTCCTATTGAGTTGGCAGTGGAGGGTGGATTAGAGAAAACATGGAGGCAAGAAGCAAATAAAGAAGTCTTGAGAATGAAATACATAAGAAGTTTGCTACACTTTTGGATGCAATTATATATCCAAGCACACCATGAGCCTCCACTAAAAGCAGACTGAACAACCCTTGAATGACCATAATTGCAAAACCAGCAGGTGATGCACTTATTGCTACAGCCTCTGAAGAAGATATACTGCCTGCCACTCCTTTCATGCACAAAACAAGGCACATCGAGCAGGTCCAGGTCTAATCGGGGCCTCCTCCACTGCACAGTGGGTGTCTTCACAAGGTGTGCTCATTGAATATCATCATTGCTGTGAACCAGTAACTGATAGATATCTGCCATTCTTCCCATTTCTAAATAAACACTTTAATTATTATTGACATGTCCCTGTTCTGCCATTGTGTGTTGAGTATGTCTATGGGAGGAAAGAAGGTGAGATGATCTATATTTTAGTTTATAGCTCACCAGCCTACACAAAGTCCCATCCAAATCTGAATGGAAAAACGAATCAGAGTGAGATTCTGGAGTATGAGCTGCATGCAGTAGCTGGGTGGCACTTTCCACTGATACCCTTGGGCAGACAGGTGGGTGTCTGGTGTGGAAAAAGGCTGCAAGTGAGAAGAAGGTATTCAAAACAAATTAAGTGAAATGGTTACTAGTAAAAATAGCATGCTCAGCATAACCCCTATTTTACAAAGGAAGCCAAAATTCCACAAAGACATGCATATACACACTGACCTAGAAAGATGCCACAGAAATACTGAGTGGCCATCTGTATGTGTAGGATAGCGCTTTACTTCTGCTTCTATTATCACATCCTGGCTAAAAATATGTTGGTGGGTCTTCCCTTCCTGAGATGAATGGAGTTCCACCAGCATGTTAAAAATCATTCAATTTCAAGTTGAATGATTGCCCAAAGCAAGAATTTCCTGAATCATTAGGTACCAAAGAACTGAGATTTCCACGTCCCACCTCTCGCTACCACTAGCCATCACTGCCACCTCTGCTTTTTTTTTAATGTTCTTGCTCTGGGATCCATCCTGTACCCTTCATGCTCTTTTATAGGAATAGACTAAACCTGCAGTCTTTGCATTAGGAAGGTCTCAATTTTGAAAACCATCTCAGCTTTCTGTTTGAAATGCAAACACAAGTTGAGGAAAAAGCAGTGGGTGTAGACTAACATTTGCGTGCTGGATTTCATTGCTCTGTAAATGCTAAGTGTTTACTATGGAAAGATCCAGATAGCAAGTGACATAAAAACATGACAAACAAATATATATTTCTGAGGAAGTTCAGATTATTGGAAAGACACATTGGAGCCTGACAGACATAGGTCCAGCCCCAGCTATGTCACTTACAAGTGGCAGGATCTGAGGCTTTTACTTTCTCTGACCCCTGGACTCATTAGGTCAGTTCTTTCATTGGGTGAGTGAGGTTCTTAGGATCCTGAAGTGTTGTGAGAATTAAGCGGCAAATGTATGCGGGGATCCTGTCATTAGATCTGGACTTAGTTGGCATTCTCTGCCCTCCTTGGTACATTTCAGAGTACCAACTTTTCAAAATTGATCTTTAGGAGATTGTTATATGAGTGGGTCCCAGTTGCAAAGGATTAAATCTCTACTATATTGTCTCTAAAACTTTATAGAGACAATTTGAAAATGCAGTATTAGGTGAAATTAGTGTTCAAAATCACATTTGCTTCTTTTAGAGTTCTTGAGTTAGGAATCATTTTTCCCACTTATGTGCATGTGAACTTGGACAAACACACAAAAAGCACCACTTGCCAGACTGGTGGCTTCTGTAATTTTGTTCCCCATCTTGTTCGCCCTCTGCTGGTTTTTTAGAAGAAGAACATGAATGAGAACTTTTCTCTGATGCTGTGAGATTTCACTTGTTTATTTTTGTCTTGGGAAATCAAACTTCTAGCTCATCCCTAATTATAAGAATGTTGAAATAAAACATGATTTTTATTTAACAAATTAGATTTATTTGAATGATTGTGGGTGTTTGGAGATAAGGTGTGGAGGTGGGAGAGAACGCAAGCTTAACCTCTTTTTTTATGTGTCTTACTGTTTAGTTCTTTGAGGTTTTTTTTTTAAATAGATAATTGTAGTTGCATCATAAATTCAAGTAGAATGTACAAGGATATGTGCATATATACACATATGTATGTGCACACACGTACATGCACACACCCACATACGCCCCCACACCTACACACACACACTCCAGAACCCTAACAAACTGAGAGGCTAACCGAAGACAATAGAAGGGCCTCCCTGGTGTCGCAAGGGGTTAAGACACAACCTATGAAGCTATCTGCAGCCACTGCAGCACAAGCTCCATCCCCGGCGAGGGAGCTACCCACCTGGCACAGCAGACCTCTCCTATCTCGCCTGCTGCTCCCCTCAGCAGTGTATTTCAGTCAGTCCTCCTTTTCTGTCCCTCACTCTGTCTCTGGTGAATCCTGTCACCTCCTGCACCTCTGGCCTGCACCCCAGTTCTTGTATGCATAAATAAATAAATCTTTAAAAAAAGAAACAACAAAGACAATAGAAGAAAACACTTGCTACTTATTACCAGACCTATCGATTCAACAAAACGTAATAGATTATTTTCAGAATCTTAAAAGTCTCCACTTTATTCAAAGTCCAATATAATATTTGTTCTAGGAAATCCTCAAAGCTGGTAAGCATTAAAATGGCAACAACTCATTTAAGAACCAAATATTTCAAAGTGTTCTGGCTTGCCTGGTGTAGGATAAGGAAAAATTGTCAGGCTTTTCTGCCCTCCCGCCATCAGGATAGATGATGGATCCTTGCGGTCCTGAATGCATGCCTGATGGCGGGCACCTGGCATAGGGTGTGGGCCTAGGTAGATGGGATTCACCTGGGCTAAGACTGGGTTTTTAAGGGCGGCATCACGGGGATGCCAGCAGAAGCCGAGAGTAGAAGCTGAAAAAGAAGCCAAGAACTAACGGAAGCCGAGGGAAGCAGAGAGAGAAGTAGAGAAGGCCGGAAAGCCCAGATAGAGTGAAGACTTGCTGGAGGCTTGCCAGCCTCCCAGTCCCCCAGCACCCCTGCCTGCTTTGTACCTGGTAATCTAAATAAAAAAGCCTGCAAAAGCCACCAAGGGCTCCAGGACTCTGACTCCTCCTTTACCAGGTCTGCTGGATCAGAAAACCTGCCCTGTGTCCTTCTTGCTTTTACACCTGGGAATGTACTTGGAACAGTACTACACAAGTTAGGGAGCTGATTCCCCACCACTGACCTCCACCCCTCACAGCTCTCATTCTTCTTTTGCTCTGCTGATAACAGCACCACCGCAATTTCGGGAAACTGCCCTTTTCCTCCCGGTGATTCTACGGGGTTTCTAAGGACATAGCTTGGATCCATGGCCACAGGGTTGCATACAGAAGCAAGGCCTGAAAAATGATAACATTTTCCTGGTCAAAATGATTGGCAAAAGGCCTTTTTGATTAGTCACTAGTGTTGAAGCTTTTATTTGGAAGTGAGACCTAATCATTTGATACTTAATTTTCAAACCCATCTAGCCTCTTGGAAAGCCTTATATCCAGTTGATTGACAGAAAATATTGTAATTCTGTAAGCTCTTTAGCTAACATATCCTGCCAAGCACTTTTGATTTTCAAGAGATAAGTTTGGAGTTGAGAGAGAAAATACTTGCCTTAGAAAATCAAGGCTCTAGGGCCTCCCTGGTGGCGCAGGCAGTTGAGCGCCACACTGTGAAGCTCTCTGCAGCCTCTGCAACGTGGGTTTGATCCCAGCCAGCCAGGAAGATACCCACATGGCGCAGCAGACCTCTCCTGACTCGCCCGCTGCTCCCCTCAGCAGTGTATTTCATCAGTCTGCCTGTTCTGTTCCCCGCTCTGTCTCCAGTGAATCCTCTCACCCTCCCACGCATCTGGCCTGTACCCCAGTTCTTATATAAAAATAAATAAATCTTTAAAAAAATAAAAAAGAAAATCAAGACTCTAGAGACTAGAAGATTGGGTTGTAGATTTTATTAAAAATAAGCTCTAGAGAGTAAAACTAATAGTTCTTCCTGACCCCAATGAGAGAAACTTGGCAAGACTAAAATATGCTGAGAGTAAGTTAGGGGCCCAAGAAGTACCTTCCCACCCTCCATTTAAATCTGCCTCCACCAGGTTAAAACCCCCAGGGAAGGAGCAATATAAACATGCTAGAAGAGGACCTCAGGAGGGCCTGAGCCTTGCATTCCAGGTCCTTCCCAGCTGACAAGCCTATAGGGAAACATTGCACTGAGCACAGGTGATAGGGCAGCAGATTACTCGTGGCTATGGGGGCTGTCCAGACTTATCAGGGAATATGTATAATGCACTGTAATGTGGAGGAAGCAGATGGCAACTCCAGAGGTCTCTAGGGAAAGTGGAGATATAAATGCTAGACAGGAACATAAAGAGTGGGCTCAAGAATTCACCAGAGGCCATTCACAGGTCATATGTATCAGCAGGTGCAACTAGTCCTTAATACTCCAAGCTCATTGAGAGCGTCCCCTTCTCTTCAGAGAGCAAGAGAACTGGAGAAAGACACAAGGTCCAGGGCCTCCCTGGTGGCACAAGTAGTTAAGCACAGTGCTGTAAAGCTGTTCCAGCCTCTGTAGCATGAGTTCCATCCCCGGCCAGGGAGCTACCCACATGGCACAGCAGACCTCTCCTGAAGTGCCCACTGTTCCCCTCAGCAGTGTACTTCGGTCAATCTGCCTGTTCTGCTCCCCACTCTTTCTCTGGTGAATCCTCTCAAGGCCCGCACCTCTGGCCTATGCCCCAGCTCTTGTATGCATAAATAATAAATCTTAAAAAAAAAAAAAGACACAAGGTCCGGATACATCCTCACCCAGTGCCAGGAAATAATGTAAATCACACAGAAACTTAAATCTGACAGCGAGAAGAGTCAACCGAAGCAAAATGGGTAGGAACTTAATATTGTCTCTGTATTTGCTCAAGAGACACTAAGATATTCCAGAAGAGATTCTAAAGTGGGGTGTGTGTGTGTGTGTGTGTGTGTGTGTGTGTGTGTGAGAGAGAGAGAGAGAGAGAGAGAGAGAGAGAGAGAGAGAGAGAGAGAGAGAGAGAGAGAGAGAAAGTTAAATGGTTAAATTGATCTCAGACCCTAAGAGCACAAACGAGGGAAAACTTATCTGACCTTCTCTGTGAGTCTTCTATTTACAGACACATCTTATCTGATGCACCTGAGCAAGCAGAAACAAGCAATTTTGAGATGTGCTTTAAAGCAGGCTGGAGATTGAGAAGCAGAGGAGGGGGCTACCTGGAGGCAGAGGATCACCAACAAAAAGTTCACAACTCCAGTTAAATGAAGAAAAGCCTTTTCATACCTTTCCATGTGTGAACTGCCCAGTAAGTACAACAAATTTTAGCCAAGTTCCCATTTCTTTGTCCCAAACTGCTTCTTAGCCAATAAAATTTAACTCCTTTGTTCTCAACCCCAGCCCCCCAAACCTCTATAACCTTATCCCCTTTCTTAGTTGGGGAGACAGATTTGAATTTATCTCTTGTCTTCTTGCCAATCGATTCAAAATAAAGATGCTTTCTTTTCTCAAAAACCCTGGTGCCATAATCTGATTATGCTGAGTAATGAGAC